TCTCAGCTCCAGGCCTGGAGTACCTCCTGCCCCTCCTCCTGCACTGCCCTGGGGGTCTGCAGAGCTGTTCCTCTCCCCTATTCCCACTCTGCTCCTCTCTGCACCCAATTCCATCTGCACAAGGACTTTTTCCTCCTTAAATACATTATCCCTGAGGCCGCAGTACACTGCCCACCATGGATCACCTGGAATGTGGGTCACCAGGTCTGTGCCCAATGAGGGTCCCTGTGGATCATCCAACGGCTGATGGAACCTCTTCCCGCAGTCGGGGCACTCGGGGCTTCCATTACTGGTGGGTCCGTTGGTGGTAGGTCAAGGCAGAGCTGTAGGTAAAACTCCTCTCACACTCGTCACACTTGTAGGGCCTCTCCCCGGTGTGGATGCGACGGTGGATGACGAGGTGGGAGTTGCGTTTGAAGCCCTTCCCGCAGTCGCTGCAGCGGAAGGGCCTCTCCCCCGTGTGTGTCTGTTCATGCATGAGGAGATGGGAGCTGGTTCTAAACCTCTTCCCGCACTCGGGGCACTTGTAGGGCCGTTTCCCACTATGGATCTTCTGGTGGTGGATCAGGTCAGAGCTCTGGCTGAAGCTCTTCCCACATTCCAGGCACTTGTAGGGTCGTTCCCTGGAGTGCAGGCCCAGGTGGGTGCGGAGGTTGAATCTCCGGTTGAAGCTCTTCCCACATTCCCCACACGTGTAAGGTTGTTCTCCAGTGTGGAGGATCTGGTGGCGGATCAGGCAGGACTTCTGGCTGAAGCTGTTCCCACATTTCCCACACGTGTAGGGCTTTTCCCCACTGTGGATCATCTGGTGTCGGAGCAGGTGGGCGCTCTGCCTGAAGCTCTTCCCACATTCCAAACACCTGAAGGGCTTTTCCCTGCTGGGAGGCTGCTCAGGGACCACCAGCTCGCAGCTCCGCCTCAAGCTCCGGCCGCCTTCCTGGCACACGCTGGCTCTTTCCTCCTCACAGCCCCCTGGGCTGGCTTTGCAGCCCCTCCTGCGGGGGCATCTCCGGCCCTTTTCCTCCCCGCTGCCTTCCTGCGCCGGGGAGCCCTTCAAAACGGCCTCTCCCACCAGGCTCTGCCGCCGGGATTTGTCCTCCGCGCTCTCCGGCCTCACCTCGGGGCCTGGGGCAGGAAGCAACAAGGACACGCAGGGGATTTGCCTCCGGCCCACAGGGAACCCAAGGACATCCCCCCAACTCCGGCCCCGGCAGGATGGCCACAAAAGACAAAAGACCGACCCAAAGGGGCACTGACTTCCTCCTCACCTGCCTGGGGGGCCCGCGGCATCTTCCTCTTCCTCGCAGCCTCCTCCTCCATCCAACCAAGCTTTGGGAAGCAGAAATCCTGCTGGGGGGGAAATCAAGGGGTGAGTGTGTTGCCTTGGGGGTTCCTCCTGACCAAGTCCAGCTCTAGGACTCACTGGGCATCTTGTGTCCATAAAAACCCCCAAAACACCAACATTCAGCCCAAAAACCCCTCCCAGAATTCCCCCTCTCTGCTCTCTGGGGTTTGGGGGGTCCCCCCTGTCTGCCCTGATGGCACTTCTGCCTGCATTGGGGGTCCCCCTTGTCCGGGCTGCCGGGGGTCCCGCGGCTCCGGGGGGTTCCCACTCGCCGGGGTCCCCTTGAGTGTTGCCAGGGGGGTCCCAGGGCTCACTTCTCCCCACTCTGCCTCCCGGGGCCGGCCGGCCCTCCTCTCTCGCCTCCCACCCTCGCAAACCTCTTGGCGCTCTCGGCTCCCACCCCGCCTCAAGGCCCCCCCTCCTCTCCACACTCCAAGGCCTTCCCCCTCTCCGGGACCCCCGCTTAAGGGGCCCAGCGCTCCCTCTCTGCTCCCCCCTCCAGCATTCCAGGGGTCCCCCAGCTCCGGGATCGCCCCTCTCCGCTCTCCCCACTCCGCGGCTACCGGGGTTCCCCCCCGGCTCTCACGGGGGGCCCCCAAACCGCTCTCGCCCCCCCCGCCATTGCCGAGCCACCGCCAGGACCTTTGGGCTGCTCTTCTTTGTGCTCCCGCTCGACTCCTCCCTCGGCTGGGCCGCCGCTTTTGGCGGGTTTCTCCTCCGGGAATCAAACCCCCTGAAGCATTCCCCCTGCCCAGCCCCCTTGGGCCCCCTTGGGCCACCTCGGGCCACCTAGGGCCCCCCTTGTGCCCCCCCCTTGCCCCAAAGCATATGGATCCCGCGGCCAGGGAATGGCTGGAGCTGTGGAGGTCGGGATGGGTCGCGTGCTCTTGGCCGCTCCCGACCCGCACTCGGACCCCCCGCGCAGCCGCCACGGTCCGGGACAAGCGCGGGGGGGGGCCGGGCCTGGGCGACCCCCCCTCCCCTGCCCAAATTGCCGTCCCGGGGGGCGCTGGGGGCGAGGGGGGGGCGCCGGTGGGCTCGAGGTGGGGAGCGCTGGGCGCTGCGGCTCTGCCTGCACACGGGGGAGTTGCCCCCGCAGCCGGGGGGGGCTCTCGGCACCCCCAGTGCCCAGAAAGGTCTCCCCATAGTTGGGCTTTGGGGGCTCTGGGCGGGGTCTGAGCGGGTTGGGGGGTCCTTGTGGGTCTGTGGGGTGGTGTCGGGGGGTCCCGGCCCCTTTTGGGGAGCGCTGGGTGCCGTGTTGGGGTGCAGGTGCCCCCCCAGAGCCCCCCCAGAACGGGGTGACACGGGGGGAACTCCGGGTGGTCCCCATTCCTGATCCATCCTGGAGCAACCAAGCTGGAGGCAACTGGGATCATACTGGGAGCGACTAGGACCACACTGGGACTGACTGGGAGCATAATTGGTGTGACCCGGGAGCATGCTGAGGTCAACTGGGACAGACTGGAAGTAACTGGGAGAGACTGGGAGAAACTGGCAGTGACAGGGATCATACTGGGAGGGACTGGAACTGTAGTGGGGTGACTGGGAGCAACTGGGACCATGCAGGGATAACTTAGATCCTCCTAGGATAGAGTGGTATTGTACTGGGAATGGCTGGGATCATACTGGGAGTTACTGGAACCAGAGAAGTGGTTAATGGGAGCAACTGGAACCATGCTGGGGGCAACTGGGATCAGAGTGGGAGCAGCCAGGCCCCCGCTGGGCTCATACTGGGATCATCCTGAGACTGACAGGGATCATCCTGGGAGTGACTGCAACAATATTGGGAGTATGTGACAGGGACTGTAACAATACTGGGGATGACTGGGATCAAACTGGATTCGTACTGGAAGTTGTCTCCAAGTTCCTGGGATCATAGTGGGTGTGACTGGACTCATAGTGGGATCATCCTGGGAGCAACTGGGACCATGCAGGGGCAAATGGCCTCCTCCAGGCAGTGACTGAAAGTGCCTGGGGCCAGACTGGACTCAGACTGGGAGTCCCTGAGAGGGAAAGGAACCATCATGAGGGGGAATGGGAGCAACTGGGACCACCTTGGGGGCAACTGGGATCCAATTGGGAGTGACTGGGATCCTAGTGGGAGTGACCAGGACCGTACAGGAACCATCCTGGAAGTGACTGTAGGTGACTGGGATCATACTGGGAGTGACTGGAACTACCCACAGGGGAACTGGGATCCAGTGGGGCCATGCTTGAAGGCAACTGGGGACACACTTGGAGAAACTGGGATCAACCTGGAAGAAAGTGGGAGTGACTGGGAGTGACAGGGTGCATTCTGGAATCAACTGTCATAGACTGGGAGTGACTGGGATCCTACTGATGGGAACTGGAAGCATCCTGGGCCAAGTGGCAGTAACTGGGTATGACTGTGAGCATGCTGAGGGCAACCGGGACATACTGGGAGAGTCTGCAGCCATCCTGGGGGTGACTGGGAGCACACTGGGAGTGACTTGGACCGTGTTGGGGGCAACTGGGAGCAATTGGGACCATGCTGGGGTAACTGTGATTGTACTGAGATCATACAGGGATCATACTGGGATCATAATGGGAGCAACTGAGTCTCTGCTGGGAGCAACTGGGATCACACTGGGAGGAACTGGGAACAACTGCGACCACACTGGGGATAACTGGGGTCATACTGGGACCACCGTGGGAGCAAGTTGGTCCATGCTGGGGGCAATGGGATCATCTTGGGAGCCACTGGGCCCACAGTGAGGGTGGCTGGGGTCATACTGGGAGTGACTGGGAGCATTCTGAGGACAGCTGGAACCATGTTAGCACAACTGGGATATACTGGGAGCAAGTGGGATCATACTGGGAGTGACTGGGATCATACTGGGAGCAACTAGGACCATATTGGGGGTGACTGGGAGTGGCTGTGAGCAACTGGGATTATGCTGGAAGCTACTGGGAGCAACCAGGAGTGAGTGCGACCACATTGGCAGCAACTGGGATATAGTGGGAGAGACCAGGAGTGACTGGGATCATACTGCGACTGACTGGGATCACAGTGGGAGTGACTGGGAGTGCCAGGGATCATCCTGGGAGCAACTGGAACCATAGTCAGTGACTGGGAGGAACTGGGACCCTGCTGGGGGCAAATGGCTTTATCCTGGGAGTGCCAGGGCATGTCTGGGTTCATCCTGGCTGTGAGTGCCACCATCTGGGGTGTCACTGGGATCCTACTGGGATGGTCCTGGGAGGGAGTGGAACTCTAGTGGGGTGACTGGGAGCAACTGGGACCATGCAGGGGGTAACTTGCATCCTACTTGGAGAGACTGGTATCGTACCGGGAGTGACTGGGATCATAGTGGGATGATACTGGGCATGACTAAAAGTGACTGAGATGATACTGGGGGTGACTGGGAGCCTGTTGGAGGCAAGTGGGATCTACTGGGAGTGGCTGGGAGTGACAGGGATGATACTGGGAGTGACTGGAAGCACAGTAGGGGTGAATGGGAGCAACTGGAACCACGCTGGGGGCAACTGGGCTCATAATGGGATCATCTGGGAGTGACTGCAATAATATTGGGAGTATGTGAGAGGCACTGCAACCATACTGGGGATGACTGGGATCAAACTGGATTCATACTTCAAGTTCCTGGGATCATACTAGGAATGACTGGACTCATAGTGGGATCATCCTGGGAGCAACTGGGACCATGCACGGGGCAAATGGCATCGTCCAGGCAGTGACTGAAAGTGCCTGGGGCCATACTGGACTCAGACTGGGAGTCCCTGAGAGGGAAAGGAACCATCGTGGGGGGGACTGGGAGCAACTGGGACCACCTTGAGGGCAACTGGGATCCTATTGGGAGTGACCAGGACCATACAGGAACCATCCTAGGAGTGACTGTCAGTGACCGGGATCATACTGGGAGTGACTGGAACTACAGAGAGGGGAATTGGGAGCCAGTGGGGCCATGCTCCAAGGAACCCCCAAACTCACTCAGAGCCCACCCAGGACCCCACCTAACCCTTTTTTGGGGGGGACATTTATGGGCACTGGTGTTACTGGGAGCACCCCCGGCTGCAGGTGAGGAGCTCTGGGGTGAGAGGGGGTGTTGGGAATGGGGGGGGCGGTGAGTCAGAGGGGATAAAAGGGGTGGTGGGATCCCAAAGTGAGTGGGAGGGGAGTGGGACCCCCCAAAAGTGGAGGGGGAGCGAGACTGAGAGGAGGGAGACTGAGGGGGGGGCGGTGAGTCAGAGGGGATAAAAGGGGTGGTGGGATCCCAAAGTGAGTGGGAGGGGAGTGGGACCCCCCAAAAGTGGAGGGGGAGCGAGACTGAGAATTGGGGGCTGATGGGAAAGAGGTGGGAGAGGTCAGAAAAGTGGGGAAAATGGGAAGGTGGAACCCCCAAAGTGAGCATGAGGGGGTTGGGGATTGGGGGAATGATGTGTAAGGGGTGGGAGAGGGGGGAAAAAGTGGGGGTTGGGACTTCATAAGTGATCCTGGTCGGGCTGGGAATTGAGGGGAACCATGGAAAAATCCTTGTCAGAGAGAAAATTGAGTGACCCAAGTCCTGGATGCTTTTAGGAAAGAGGTCTGAACATCTCTTAAACAATGGAGGGGGGTGACTTTTTTATTCTTGACCTTTCCAGTTCTCCCTTTGGGGGCAGGATGTCCTCTGGGCCAATGTTTTGTTCCCTTTGCAGGGAGTGCAGCCTCAGAGGGCTGAGCCCTCTCTGGCTGGGCTTGGCCTCTCCTGCAGAGACTCAGGCCTGGCTGGGCTGCCCCAGGCAGACGCTGCAGGAAGAAGAGCTCAGGCCGCCTGGCTCTGGTGTCCCTGGGGCTCAGCCTGTGCCCCATTGCTGGGCAGGGGCTGAGCCCCACCTCTGCCTCGGGGCCTTGGCCAAAGGGCTGGCAAGGAAGAGGCCCAGGAGCCTTGGGGCCTGCCCAGCTTTCCTCCTCCCTGGGGGCTCTCAGTCCTCCCCTGACACCGTGTGGGCCCAAGGCCTTGCTGGCTTCGGGCTCACGGCCCGCCGGCACCATCCCAGCGGCCTGACCCCCCTCCTTCCCCTCTCTCCAGCCTCTCCTGCCTTTGCTGGCAAGGGGCCATCCAAGGAAAAGCCCGGTTCTCAGCAATGGCACCTGTGGCACGGCTGCAAGGCTCCAGTGGGCCAGGCAAGAGCAGGAGCAGCGAGAGCCTGAGGAGCCAGGAGATGCCCTGGCTGGGCATCGTGCTGCTGCGGGACGAGCTGACACCTCTGCACAGTCTCTGCCCGTCCCTACCAGCCGACTTCTGCCCAGGCTCTGGGCACGGGGACGCAGCACTGACAGTTTTCAGCCCCCGCGCTGTTCCACAGAGGCTGTGATGTCACAAGGCCCTTGCCTGGCAGCCAGGAGATGGGCAAGGCAAGGCAAGGACGGAGCCTCGGAGCCACCAGCACGCTGTCCCCAAAGGCTGGGCTGGCACAGAAGCCCAGAGTCCCTGAGCTTGGCAGAGACTTGGGAGATCAACCGGGGTCCAGCCTACGCCCCATCCCCAGCACGTCAAGCAGACCACTCAGTGCCATGGCCAGTCTTTGCTTAAACACCTCCAGGGACGGTGACTCCACCACCTCCCTGGGCAGCCCATTTCAATACCTAATCCCTGTTTCTCTCCAAAAAGTCCTGCTCCTGTCCCTGACAAACAGCCCCTGACAGGCAGGTCCTCGTGTCCTCTTGTCCTGTCGCCTGTTGCCTCAGAGAAAGGGCTGACCCCCACCTGGCTCCAGCCTCCTGTCAGGAAGTTGTGGACAGGGAGAAGGTCAGCCCTGAGCCTCCTCTTCTCCAGGTTGGAGAAGCCCAGCTCCCTCAGCTGCTCCTCACAGGACAGGCACTGCAGACCCTTGCCCAGCTCCATTGCCCTGCTCTCCACCCACTGCAGCCCCTCAAGGTTCTCCCTGAATTGAGGGGCCCAGAGCTGGACACAGCACTCCAGGGGTGGCCTCACCAGTGCCCAGTCCAGCAGAAGCATCACTGCCCTGCTCCTGATGCCACACTCTTTCTGATCCAGGCCAGCCTGCCCTTGGCCTTCTTGCCCACCTGGGCACCCGCTGGCTCAGGTTCAGCCTCTGTCCACCAGCACCCCCAGGGCCTCTCCCACGGGGACCCTTTGCAGCTCCTCTGCCCCCGGCCTGGAGCTGCAGGGGGTTCTTGTGGCCAGAGGCCCCAAAGGCCCCAAAGGCACTCTTGAACCTCATGCCCACGGGCTTGGCCCAGAGGTCCAGCCTGTCCAGGTCCCTCTGCACAGCCTTCCTACCCTCCAGCACATCCACACTGCAAGCCAGCTTGGGGTCCTCTGCCAATTTGCTCATGGAAGACTCAATGCCCTCCTGCAGATCCCCACGAAAAATGTGCAACAGGACTGGGCCTGTTACCCAACAAGTTCTAGTGCTTGACAAAGGAGCCCACCCAGCAGTGGGGAGAAACTGCTGGCAGGAGATTGAATGGGGGAAATAGACAATGGATGATGGACAAGTTCGGGGCCATGGCCATTTGTTAGAAAAACAAAGTAAAAGTTTAAGGCCTGCCATATTTCAGTGGTCAGAGACCTGGCAGAGAAATCTCTTTTTGAGACCTGGACACCAAGAAGGCAGAATTTCTAAACCACAAAGACCCTTAGAGAAACCAGAGACAAAGACAAAACTAACACAGACAGTTACTGTCACTCTCCCTATCTAGGGAAAAGACAGTTCATTTGGGTACATGTCTGGAATAAAGACAAGTGCCAGAAATATTCTAACACAAAAAATATCTTTTATTACACTGAGAATAATAATAATAATCATCTTAGCTAAGACAATCAAGAACTAAAAAAGGATACAAAATATCTTATTGTGTGGCCTTAAAAACAAATACTACAAACAGCATTTAATACAGTATTAACCAGTGAAAAAAGGGGGTTAAAGGGATACCAAAAAAGGGATCTTAACACAATATTATGGATAACTATTAACACAATCTTGGTTAGTAAAAAGGGAAATTAAAGGGAAATACTGCGAACAACTTATTTATGTAACAATATTCAATAATAAAAGGGGAATTGAAGTGACACTAATGGGATATTAAAAAGTTTGTTCTCTCAGTTGCTTCCTGTCAATAAACTGTGCTGACCCCCACAGACAGGCCAGGGCTGTCAGGATCTGCAGCAGCTGGTCGGTGCCCGTGCTTAGCGGGCGTCCCCGCGGAGCAACATGCTCGGTGGTAGGATGAGGATCGCTCAGCTCAGCAGTCCCGACACCCCATTTGATCAGTTCCACATTACACTACGTAGGGCCAGTACCCAGTATAAGGTGATGCCTGAATGGCAGCCAAACCCCGCCTGATCATCACCTCATGGCAACAGTCTGTGCCTGCCCTACTTGTAGGGCAAGGGGCCAGCGACCCCTGCCCACATCATCTTCCTCCCATCATCATCTTTCTCACCCCTATGGATGACCTCTACCATTGTGTTTCAAGGGTAGATGTATCTATCTTGCAGTATGTGGCAAAACCAAGGAAGAACTCAGCTCTGATAATAGGGGATATCAAGCTGACTTGCTAAAAAACACAATGGACCTTACAATTAGCTTGTGCCATGAAGTTACATTGTACCGTACTCTGGCTGGTTTCACATCCTAATATGATTCCTTTCTCACACCTCTATGCTCCATTGATCATCTAATTCAAAAGTCCCCCCCTTACACTTTGATCCATTGGGGGTGAGGGAGGGAAGCCCCACACTCAGGGAAGTTATGAGTTATTATATCCATGGACAGTGTCCCGGGCCATGCCACGAGCCCCCATGTCTCCCAGGTCTGCACAGAGTTCCTGAGAGGGGCAGGGAAAAGGCTTTTTCCCACCTTCCAAGATTGGTAGAGGGGGGATGGGCTTTGATGGGCCATGCCATGAACCCCCAACACCTCGGACAGCCCAGAGCAGAGTTCCTGTGAGGGGCCTGGTAAACTCGGCTCTTCTCTCCTTTCCAGGGCTTGACACCTTCAGCAGCACTGGAGGGGAAGATGGGCCCAGCTGCCCATCAGAGGGATAATGCCAAAGTCCTGCAAAAGCCACCAAAAGCCTCCTGGCAATCCCAGAATGCAGAAATCATTGACTGTTTCAGTCTCCGACAGTTTCACACGGGAAAAAGCAGGAAGTTGATCCATCGGGAAGAGCCGCAGGGGGGCCGGGGTGGGTGGGAGCAGCGGGATGAGCTCTGCCAGCAGCTCCTGCCTTTCCGCAGGGAGAGGGAAGGGGCAGATCCAGCTCCAGGATCGCTCAGATGTGATTCCTGCTGGGATGAGAGTGGGGAAAGGAGTCACCATGTCCCTGTTCCCATCCCAGGGGATGGAGCCGACTGTGGAGCCCAGGGAGAGTAGGAACTGCTCTGGACTCCCTCCTGATCCTGCTCTGTCCATCCCACCCCAATCCCACTCCGTCCATCCCACCCCAATCCCAGTCCAGAATCCAGCCCTGATCCCAGTCCACAATTCCACCTGATCCCACTCTGGAATCCTACCCTGAGCTGGAATCCCCTTCCAATCCCACTCCAGCCATTAGGCCCCCATTCCCCTCTGGAATCCCGGCCTCCATCCTGGGATCCCTGCCCAGAGGATCTGGATCCACACACGCTGCTGGGACTCACTGGTGGGTGCGGGGTCGTATCCATTCCCCTCCCTCTTCCCTATGGAAAGAAAGTGGGATCAGCACCCGTGGCACAGGATCCCCGGAATGCTGCCGGGCGGATCCGTGCCCCTTCCCGACCCCCATCCCGGGAGTTACCGGATCGGAGCTTCCAGACACCAAGGCCAATGATGATGATGATGACGGCAACGATGACGGACACAGCGACCAGCACTGGGGTGGAATTCCAGACGGATTCCGGCTCTGGGAAGGGCAGGAATGTGAGGAGGGGGAGGGTTACCCCCATCCCGCTGCTCCACACTCCCAAACTCCTCCTTCCCAAATGCCCAGTTCCCACATTGCCCGTTCCCAGCCTCACCCCAGGCGAAGATCCCGGGCTCTGGCATTCCGGCGTGCTCCACCCGGCACCGGTACTGCTCCCGCTCCCCCGGCAGCGCCTCGATCCTGGCCCAGCTGTGGAAGGTGCCGTCGCTGTTGGGAACGATCCCGCCCCACTCCGTCTCCTGATCCCGCAGTTCATCCCCCTTCAGCCAGTTGATCCCGATCATCCCGGGGTAGAATCCGTACGCGTGGCAGGACAACGTCAGGATCCCGTGTTCCACTTTCCCAGACACATGGACATCGGGGGGCTCTGGAATGGGATAACGGTGAGATCCATCCATGGA